GCCCGGCCTTTTTTTTTTTTTTTTTTCTCTTTTTATTTATTTTTATATATAAATAAAGCATTCACCAAATCACCTTTTAAAATTAGACACGTGAAGGTCGTTAATTGCACTCTTCCGTCTACCGATATTAATGTGCTAAAGAATTAAAAAGTTGTAAAATACAAAGAACAAGAATTGATGGCTGAAGATTAGCGAGCTGTAATGGTCGTAAGTCTGCTCCAACTTTTCGTAAATACATAAGTATGCACAGTGTTTTTTTTTTCTGCTTTTTAGTCTGTACATATTGAGATATCAAATTTAGGGGTATTTGAGTCACATTATTTTGGTAATAATGTATTTTTAAATAGTGTAGTGATGAAAAATGTGTGATTAAAAAGAAGGAAAAGTTTTTGATTTGCGTGTAATATTATTTTATTAAAGAATGTGTGGTTGAAATGATGTTAAATCACTGTTTAAAAATGCATTTTTTTGAAATAATGTAGCTCAAACATGCTCTTAATATTTATGGCTTTTTTTTTTTTACACATTTACAATGAATTTCATAATGTAACCCTTATTTGATTTTCATTTTGCGGGAAATAATACATTTTGAATAGTAGATTGATAGAGAATGTGTGATTAAAAATTAAAGAAAAGTTTTAGATTTACGTGTAATATTATTTCACTGAAAAATGTTTCATTGAAAATGAATTTTTAAAAAATGGATTTTTAAAAAGAATGGAAATTAAAAAAGGACTTATATGTCTAGCTAGGAAGGAGTTCATGAAGCTTCAAACTAAAAAACAAAATAGAAAAGTATATTTAAGGAAAGGCTGCTTATTTTTTTGGACTAATTTTTCCACTAGTACTTTTCCAAAATATCAAACATGTCCGCTTTCAACTCTGCAAAGAACAATACTTCTCAATATCAAAACCCTGACCCTAATTATCATCAAGTCGCAGACAGTACTACTACTGATCAGCTTGATGAATTGTTCGATTTCAAATTCTCCGATTATTTCGCATTTGATGGTGCCTTGGAGGAAGAAATTTCTACGCAGGCAAATGTGGAAAGCAGCTTCAATGGATCTTCGAGTTCATCAACTCCATTAGCTAGTAACATGCAAGTTCTATTGCACCTTAGGTTAAATTTCCTTTATTGGCTCTTAATTAGCTAGCAATATATGGTGAATATCGGTGATGTTTTTGTGCAGAAGAAAAGTGAAGAAGTACAAGACAAACGATGCGTTCAGATTTGCATTTCGAACAAAATCAACGCTGGAAATAATGGATGATGGATTTAAATGGAGAAAATATGGCAAAAAGATGGTCAAGAACAACCCCAATCCAAGGTATGTAAACCCTTCAATTTTGTAGTGCTAATTCACAAGATTTTACTTTATCTGTTGTCAATAATAATCAATATTGCTTTTGTATTTACTGAATCTGTTGTTAATAATAATCAACATTGGTTTCTATTCTTTTTCTTTTCTCACAAGATTTTACTGTATCAGTTGTTATATGTATATATATATATACACACACACACACACACACACACACACACACACATATATAAAATTCTTTTTATTATTCCAGTTATTATTTACGTCAAGCATTTTAATAGATATTTAAACAGAAAGCTTTTTTTTTTTTTTTTCCTAGATGAATACAATGAAAATATTCAGTAACTGAAAATTGAAATTAATCCATGTTAAGATAGATGCCTAAATTTAAAATTTATTCGTGAACTGAGGACTATATATATTTATTCATGATCTGTGGACTATATATTTAAACAGAAAGTTTATCTTTTTTCCAGATGAATACAATAAAAATATTCAGTAATTGAAACTTGAAATCAATCTTTGTTAAGATAGATGCTTAAATTTTAAATTAATTCATGATCTGTGGACTATATATATTTTATCCGAGTTTTTTCTTGTTTGGCTATGTCGAGTGTCATTCTTTGAAATTCAATTTTCCCTCAAATTTATTCTTTCAACTAATAATTTCGCATCTAAGTTTAAAAAAAAAAAATCTTTATTTTTTAATTACACATTTTTCAAAAGAATTCACTTTTTACAAAACTATTTTAAAAAATGAGGTTCAAACACGGGCTAAATGTATCATAGACGATTTATGTGTATAAGCCACATGAATGTGTAGATTTTTGCATCTTCTTCTCACGTTTATTTACCATAGGAAATGATATTGAACCATATACGATCAAACAAATATAAATCAATAATGGTACCGTATATGTAAAAAAATACTTGAATATAATGTAAGGGGTAAAGAATCAAATCATTCCCCTTACATGCTTTAGATTACAACCTAATCATAAGTACGAGATTAGAAAATACATGCACGAACACGTAAGTTATTATGTATGGTAGGCCGCCAAAAAAGGTTCATAGAACTTTTCCAATTTGTCTCTTTTTTGGAAATGAAATTAGTCCACTCTAAAAATCCATATTCATTCAAACTTTAATTTAAATTTTGACCCTCCTTAGAATTTATTTTTAAGTCCACCTGTCAGATAAATTTTCATTATACTAAGAAAGGATAATTATAATAGTGGCCCCTTGAAAAATACTTTATACAGTGGTGACCTTATGATAAAATAAATTTTGCCCCAAGGCTATTGCACCTTGTGAACTATGATCCAAGGTACTATACAATATGAACCAAAGGAGTATAACTATTGAGGGGGTGCTATACGTCCAGGGCCACATGGGCCAGTTGGTTATTAGTTCATACTATGTGGCTGGTCCTTTTTTAATCCTAACCCTAAAAAATCAATGAGCCACACCCTAAGCATAAAGTTCCGTTTCGGTCCGAGTGGGGATAACATTTCTCTTCTGCATGTCTATGGAGTTTCTTGCTATCGAAATAAAAAATATATGGAAATAAATTGCATCCAACAGGATTTGAACCTATACCAAAGGTTTAGTTTGGACAAGTAGTCTTTTCCACAACTACTTCCCCTTGGTACGTACTTTTGTTATGTATAGATTATCATTTACTGGATATCATACAAAAGAAGGTCAAATCTTCCAAGATATATATTGTTGACTTCGAAAACCGACGATGTCGCATGGCCATCATATCCCAGCTTTTCTTCAACCCACATGTATGTTAATTGAACACTTGGACAGTCACATCACATTGCTTGTGATTGTTGCTTCGATGGAGTGTGACAGTTGCGAACACTTAAATTCTCAAGTTATGGCTAACTAGAGAAAATATTTGACACATGATTTCATCTTTATGGCAAACTAGAGAAAATGTGTGAATCCTAGCTGTCATAGAGCCTGGTCGCATGACACAAGTTGAAAAATAGTCACCTTATGTAATAAAAGCAATCTAAAAATTATTGAAATCTATCAGATGCATAGAGCATCTTTATACAAATTATCTTTTTCATCAAGAGGCCTACCACCTAAAAAATATGCCATAGTAGGAGGAGGCACCTCATCTCATAAGTATCACTTCTAAAGTATGTTGTCACCTCGGAGGAGCCACTTTGAAGGGAATCATATCGTTTTGGGAGATGTGGCCAACTACTTCCTATGAGGTGCCAACCACCACGTCAATAGCCCAACCACCAGGGAGAGGCTTATGGGAACAATGTGAGGTGGAGTGACCCTTTGAAAACCTACAAGTGAATGG